AGATAGATAGATAGATAGATAGATAGATAGATAGATAGATAGATAGATAGATAGATAGATAGATAGATAGAAAGTATATTTAAAAATATCTCTTTTCACAGCCTGGAGAAACCTGGATTAGCAACTGCCAGAAATGTACTTGTGAAGAATATTCTCTTATGGTACAATGTGTTGAAGAACCATGTCCTACCAAAGCTACTCCTGTGGAATGTTCCTATAAAGGGTTTGTACCCATCACAATATTAACCCCTGAAGAAAAGTGCTGCCCTCAAAAACAGTGTGGTAAGTATAATTTTCACCAATATTGTATCGTAAATGACCCAAGCTAGCCTGCCAGTTTTCATTTTGGAAACTCTCATTTGTCAGATTCAGGGGTGGGTTCTGGCTGCTATTACTACCAGTTTGGTAGTAAAAAAAATTGTGCGGATGCTCTTGCTTCGCTCACACACACACCAGACACGCGCTCTGCACGCATGTGCATCTTCATTTAAAATGATCTGCACATGCACACAACATTAAAAAATGAATTAAAATTACATTTTAATGAAGATTGTTCGGTGCATGTGCAGAAGAGAAAATCAAGATGGCGCTGCCGATCATAGAACCGGTATGGTCACATGACCACCGAAGTTACTACCTATTTGGCTGAACCCGACTGAATAGGTAGGAGCCCACCTCTGGTTAGATTACAGTGGCTGCTTCAGTTTAACCAAGGCTCCGTATTATAAATCATATATTAGAGAAGTTAATCTGTATGCTTTACAAATATTTGCTTTGAAATGAGATGGGCAAGAAAATAAATTTAGTAATGAATAAAAAAAATAGGAGTACTTTAGAAGAGAATATATTCAGCTCTAGATTGCACTGTAGGCTCCTTGGTGCTCTTTGAACTTGGTGGTTTTTTGCAGTTTTTGCAGTTTTTGCAAAACAACATCAGTTGTTTTGTTACCAAACTAAGTAACATCATCAGTATACTGTTGATGTTAACTATTTGGTACTGAAACATCTGCAAGGAAATCCACTAAGTTCAGAGAGTACCAAGGACCCTATAGATGCACTTTCTAGTTTCTACAAGATCAAAAGCTAATGCTTATAGGATACAGCTATGCTGTTGGGCAACTTACCGCCAATTCTGTTTTGATAAAAATGAAGTTAAACCATTGCACCAGAATTTATAAAGACGACGGGTCAAATTTCTATTTAAATACACAATGTACTGGATTCATTATAACTTAATGCACTCTATGATTTGCTCAAGACAAAATGTAGATAAAGTGATGCTAATAAATATTAAAATGTATTAATCCACCCATTTATCTTTCTCCTTTTTATTTTTCATTCTGCAGTGTGCAACACTACTCACTGTCCCTGGTCTGTTGAAACCTGTCCACTGGGATATGAATTAAAGAAGGAAAACTTGCCAGGAGGCTGCTGCATTAACACCACTTGTGGTAAGAATTGAGCTATTTTTTAAAAAAAAANGAAGCAACTTAGAACTAAGGAGAAATTTCCTGACAGTTAGAACAATTAATCAGTGGAACAGCTTGCCTCCAGAAGTTGTGAATGCCCCAACAATGGAAGGTTTTTTTAAAAATGTTGGATAACCATTTGTCTGAAGTGATGTAGGGTTTCCAGCCTAAGCAGGGGGTTGGACTAGAAGACCTCCAAGGTCCCTTCCAACTCCGTTATTCTATTATAATCTAAAAGTGGAGGATAACATAATGCAAAGAGACTGCTGGACAGACCAGCCAGCTAGATGTGATTTCAGTCGTTTCCAGGAAAGAAGATCAGAAATTATTCATTGAAAGGAGATAATCACGTGAATAATAAATGATGGATGGATCAAAACCCATAGACCCAGTAATATGGACATGTGAAACATTTACCATAGTTAAGGAGGCCTGATTTATATCCATCAACTGCAGTGCACAAAACTGAGTAAAAGATCCTGAAGAACATTTGCATGAATATGCAAGATTTATAAAAAAAATACAGTCTTCTTTCACACAGAGATGGTTTTGTTCAACAGAGGATTTTTCCCCTCCACAATTACATTCTAAAAATTGTATGATAATCCCTCCATAAGTATCACTTAGCAATGGATCAGCATTGTCTGTTATTATTTGCCCATGAAATCTACAAAATGGACCCACAACTTTCTTTGTGCTATCTGAAGCTCAGGTTACCTGAGCATTCCTAGCATCTTCCCTTTGATTGTTATCCAGGAGACAAAAGAAATTGCACTAGATTCCATAAGCCTCAACAGTCACTGGCCCTTTGCTTTCTAAGCAAGTTACATGTGTATCCCTCCCATTAATATAGCAGGAGAGGTAAGCTGTAGATCCTATCAATTAAAAAAAAAAAGTCAGCTTGTGGGACCCAAGAAGTGGGCCTTCTCGTGAACTGCTTTTTCCATTTGGAACACAATTCCCCTTGAGACTAGAGTAGATCTGACCTTGCTAGCCTTTCTGAAAACCCATGGATATGTTTTCAGATATGGGGGTTACTGTGTGAGGGGGAAACCTTAATATGCTCATTGCTTTCTCTAGACTGATTTGGTTTCTCAGCTGCTGCCTGTATTGCTGTGTTTTATATAACGTTCTGTGTTGTTTTTAAATGTTGTAAGCTACCTACACTGACTAGTGTAAAACAGAATAACACATTATTATGTTCGTTATATTATAATGAAATTTAGATGTTCTTCAGTGCAAAATATCATACATATACATTTTTTCTAGGTTGTACTGGACCAGATGGGCTACCCAAAGTGGTAAGTATTAAAGCTTTTATTATTTCATAAAATGTAGATGGGTGAAACTCTATGGGTAATAGGAGCTTCATGGAAAATATTTTTTTTCAAAACTTTTTTCAATGTTTGGTGGGTTTTAATGAGGAAATAGGAAAAAATTGCATCCATTGTCTCAGTGTCATGATAGCAGTGTTCCAATATCTCAGGAGTTGCCACAAAGAAGAGGGAGTCAAACTATTTTTCAAGGCACCTGAGAGTAGATAGATAGATAGATAGATAGATAGATAGATAGATGATAGATAGATAGATAGATAGATAGATAGATAGATG